GTATGTGTGCCTTAATCCACAAATAGTAAACATACTTCACATTGTAGAGGTGGAGTTCACATTGATGACACTCTACTACTTGCAAAATATTCCTTATATCATCTGATCTACACAATAAAACTAGAACAACCAAGGATTAGAACCTCCATTTTGCAAATACAGTATAAAATTAGGAAAAGCAGTGGCTTGGCCAGACCCATACAACTATCAGGTAGCAAAAATGAGCTACAGCTTAGGTCTTTTGATCACAGGCTCAAAGTTCCTTCAGTTTTGTAGCCTTTTCTGGCTCGACTCACTCACTATTTTCCTCCTTCTCTGAGGCAATTATTCACGAAAGATGAAAGAGCTGCATATTACCAGGTTCTCAGTATGTCATACTGGGGCTCAGCGTATAACAAGGAATATAAAGCTCCTCTTGTTACTTCCCATTAGCACAGTTTTTAGGGCTGGAGTTGTACTGGCTCAGCAATTGTCCGATGTTATGCAGGCACCTGCTTCTATGCTCAAATTCAATGACAGCTATGGACTAGAGTGATGGGAAAACTGAAAGTAAAGCCCTTGTTGTGTTAAAAGGACGCTAACGTCTACAGTGCTGACCTACAGGTGCAAATCTACTGCTTCAGCTGATCACAAGCCCCTTTAGGATTTCTCTTCTTCCAAGGATGAGTTTGCTACCCTAAATTGTGACACCAAAGATGTACAGCCTCCTGCTTGGGGCCTATGACTATGAACATGCTATTTGTCAGGAAGGCCGAGAGTGGTGGCACAGGCTTGCGGTTCTGGCTACACTGAGGCAGAAAGCCCAGAAGCTCAGGGCCAGCCTGGTCAACAGTGGGAGTCTCTGTAGAAGGAGAAAAAGGCGGGGAAGAACAGAGGGTAGGAGGAGAAAAGAAAGTTGCACATAAAAATATTCTATACTCCTAAGTGAAATAAATAAGTCACACATGTGTAAATACCGAAGTTTCTCTGGTGTGAAAAACTATAACAGTACATAAGATCCTAATGACCATGTGAAATAGGAAGAAAGGGGCTAAAGGTGTAGGGGAAGTGGGAAGGGTAGGGGAAGGGTAATAAGGGAAAAGAAAAAAATATGAGAAAATGAAAAATGGAAATAAGAGTTTGTAAACGGGGAGGGGAGGAGGGGGTGAAGAGGGGGCAGGGACAAGGGGAAAAAATGGGAACCAAGACCTGTCATGTAGAGGTACAAGATCCCAATGATGAATGTAACTGTACCGTGTACCTAAAATGTACCAGTAAACTCAGAGAGAAAAAAGATTATTCTATTCCTGCCTCTCCTTAATTGTTTATTCCTCATATCTGCCCTTTTCCTTTCCTACTTAGAAAAGCTTGGCACTTCATAGGGCTTTTCATAGTCACTGTCCAGCTTCAGCCTGGTGATAGACACCTTGCTAGAGTGGATGCCCACATGGATGGCTGTGCCATCAGCCTTTTCCCGTGGTCCCATCCAGTGCAGGCGACCGATCTTCCTGGAAACCTTGACCGCTATGTCAATTTGCTGGCCCTTGTAGTGTCCACACATATCCTGGACTTCATCACCCCTTTCAGATGGGGACGAAGGGGACATCACACTTCTATTTTATCTCTCTGGAAAAATGTGAAGAATCCTGCCATTGCAGACAGGTGCACCAAAATGCCTTTTATGGTTCTTGCCTCAGCCACAAGTCACGAAAGAATTGAACTTCATTTTGGCCACTGCCACTTTAGAATGGGTACAGAAGGGGAGAGGTAGTGAGCATTTTCTACAAAACCCTTCATGCTTTCCTCGGTGATCTGATTATCACTTATATCTTATACTGAATGCACATAGGTATTAATCTATCTCTAGTTTGTCTATTTTCTCAATGATCTATATGTCTGTCTTTTTGCCAATACCTCTATTTTTATTACCACTGCTTTGAAATAAGTTTTTTGAAGAATGTCCATATCAGATAAGGTTAGTCTTCTTATTCATTGCTCTTTTACAAGTTTAGCTTAGATATTCGTGGGCTTTAGTCTTATACATACATTTTAAAGTAAGTTTATTACTAAATTTCTCAGATTAGTTCATAATTTATATTGATATTCAATTGAATATGGAAATGAGTTACAAGAAACATGTGCTTTTTATATATCTTTGCACTCAAGGGTACAGAATTATTTGATTAAATCATGCTATATTTTTACTTAAATCTTTAAATTTTTCTCCAAAGAATATTCCATATTAAATTAACTCATGTAATAGTCACAACTCTATATTTACTGCAAGTATTTTTATTGTCTTCATCTCCCAGATCAGGAAAATGAAGCCAGGGAGATAACTAACTTTCTAAGAATACACTGCAAGTAAGGAGCAGGGTCTGGATTCAGGAAATTTAAAGTCTTTACACTTACCCACTGCACTGCCTCTCTATCTGCAGTCAAGCACTTTATAGTTTAACTAATACAATGAATGTTGCCTTTTTTTAGTATTTCCCAACTGACATTTTTACGAGTGCTGAAAAGTTCCGTTGATTTTTAATTTCAATTTTAATATTTTTTTAGTGCTGTATATTCATCCCAGGGCCTAGCGAATGCCAGGCACATACTCTACCACTGAGCTACATCCTCAGCCTCTTTGGTTTTTTAAAGATAACGTGGGTATCCTGTGAAGTTACTGAATTCTCTTTTTATTTCTAGTAGTTGGTCTATTCACTATGGTTCAGTTTTTATTTGTTTTGTGCTTGTTTGTTGGTTTCATACATTAGCTTTCTAAAACTGACAGTTTTAGCTTTTCCTTTTCAATGTCTGAATCTCTCATTTCTCTTTCTTTCCTTTCATCATTGACCAAAATCTCTATCATAGTGCTGGACACTATGTAGCAGTAATCACGGGCAAAGACTGTCTCTTATAGAAAAGTAATGTTATTAAGGAAATAAGTATTTGTTTCATCTTGGCTAGAATATGTACAATATGTTAGGAAAATGTTCCACAGAAGTGTAGGTTAGAAACTGTATCTGGTGGCAAAAATCCATTTTGAACAGAGGCCCTGTGCTCATCTCGGCAGTAGAAATTACTTTTGCATAGGAGATAGCTATTCCAGAGGGAGATAGCTCAGTTGTGATAAACTAGACTTCAGTCTGACTTTAAGTACTTTTAAATCCACCCTAAACCCCCGTGGGACATCACAGCTCTGCCTGTCACTTGCTTCACGTAAACTACTAACCATATTTATTTCTGACAGTCATTTGGTTTGTGTCCCCATGGGGAATTCACAGGCGGCAGCACCTGAAGGGGCTTTAGTGACTAGCCACATCTCTTACTTTATACACATCTGAAAGTCCCTACAGTACTGCCTCTTTACCTTCCTCAGATAATTCACCACAGGAGGCTGATGCCAACAGCTGAGTTTGGGGCTGGGACTGACCAGTGCTACTTTCTCCTCCTCGGCCTCGTAACTCCATCTTCAGGAGAGGTCAGCCCTCCTTAGCGTTCATGATAGCACCTCAAGCCTTAAGATGAACTAACTTCTCAATCCTGATTTCCATGTGGACCCAGACACAAGAAGGAAGAAGCACCCAACGGCATCTTATCAATGAGACTGATGCATCTGTACAAAAGCAGCAAGTTCCTCCAGGCCCACTGGAGGCTCCAAATTGGTGGCCAAACAACCCCACTCCCTACACACACAGTGACTAAGGCTTAGAGTAGAAATGAGTGAACGGAAAAGTCCCACAAGAACCTCACACCCAGCCAAAATACACCTCTGAAATACTTTTCCCTGTCAGCTCCCAACTCACTGTCCTCTTACAGTAACCTCTGCTGCAGGAACTGGATCAGTCTCTATTTGGCCATTCTCAGTGCCTTCCTCTTCCTCACACCTGAGAAATTATCAAGTTTTGGTCCTGGAGGAGATGGGGCAATACCCTGCCAGCTGCTCCCTCTACCCTGCCCCTGTCCCCCGAGATCCATTCTCCACACTCTGACTAAAGGGATCTCTCTATCGAGCGAATCTGAGCACATCTCACTGCCTAGAACCCTAGAACCCTGCCACCCTCAAAACGGAAGCATGCTTCTGAGTACGGCATGCACTACCCTCACCTCCCACTGTCCACCCTTACACTCTGCAGGGACACAAGGACCCCCCCCCGCCCCTACCTCCTCCACCCTGCCTGCGTGTGCTCTGATTCATTTCGAGCCAGAACCTGCACCCCATCCCACTGGAAGGAATCGGATGCCTGCTTGCTCTTTCTCAGTGGGGTCTGGGCAGCTGCTCCCGGGAGCCTTTGCTGCCTGCAGGACCCGTTGTTCCTTCTCAGCTGCACGCTCATCCAGCCTCTCCTCCCAGGACCGTGCGCACCTCCTCGCCAGATCCTAGTCGTTCTCTCCACGTCGTCAGAAACCGGATTCCCTAAGAGCGTACTTACTGTACAACCATCTCGGTTTGACTCTGCCTGAGTGGACCTCTGAACGGAAAATCAGATTTGCCCCCCGCCAAGCCCGGGACCCCCTTGTCCTGGCACAGAGCGGGCCGTCTGAGCGAAAAGACGGTGAACGAGTGACCCGGAATCGGGCCGTGGTCCCCAACTTCGCGCACAGCCCCGGCCAGGGAGCGCCAGCGGGTGTCGCCTCCG